CAGTGCACTTCAGAGAGGTTTCCCAGTGTCTCCTCAGTGGGCATCAGGGCTCCTTTACAGGCACAGCCATGCTGCCTTCCCAGGCACTGTGCTGCAGGGTTCCAGGAGCTCTCTAGAACTAACGGCCTAGCTGGGGAGAGCTGGACGATAATCATACAGACAGCTGCCAGAATGATCTTTTAAAAACACAAATCAGCTGGGCAAGATGGCTCATACCTATAATCCCAACACTTTGGGAGGCCAAGGCAGGTGGATCACTTGAGCCCAGGAGTTTAAGATCAGCCTGGCCAACATGATGAAATCCCGCCCTCTAAAAAAAAAAACAACAGAAAAATTAGCTGGGCAGTGTGGCACATGCCTGTGGTCTCAGCTACTCGGGTGGCTCTGAGGTGAAAGGATAGCTGGAGTCCAGAGGTCAAGGTTAGGGTGAGCTGTACTCACACCACTGCACTCCAGCCAGGAGTGAGGCCCTGCCTCAAAACAAAACTACGCAAATCTTCCCTGCTACTCCCTCACTGAAAAAGGAAAGCCTTCACCCTCATTGCCCATGGGGTGCAGTCCAAGCTTTTGAGCCTGCAGCTGACATGTCCACGTCTCCTCCCAGCTGTTGCCCCGTGCCTCTGCAACAGCAGTGGCATCTCTTGCCCCATGCACAGCCCTGTGGCAGCCCCCAGGCTCCTCGCACTGCTGCCTGTGTTCAGGAGACTTCTCTCTCATTTGGCTCATTTCTGCTCATCCTTTAAAATTCATTAAAATGGAAGCACCCTTTGACCCAAGAATTTGACTTCTAGAATGTTCCCTGCAGATATACTTATGCACAAAGTTCTAGATACCAAGATGTTCCTCTTAGTGTCGTTTATAGTAGTAGAAGACTAGAAACGACCTCTGTACAAGGATGGAGAGCTGAGTGCTGGTCAGCCGGAGGAGTGGGTGAGGTCTCTGAGGATCAGCGGAAAGATGAGGTGCGGCACATTGTGTCTGCTGTGGTCCAGTGAGTGTCAGGAACAAGTGGGGTACGTGTGTGTGCTTACTCACACATGTGCCCATGCACGCACAGCACCTCGCCCATGGGATGGGATACACAGAGGAGTAGGGACAGGGCTGAGTCCAGGTCAGCCCAGAGGCTCACTGTTCACCACATACCCTCTATGCATTCTACTTTTGTTTTTTAAAACCATATGTAAGTATTTTTCAAAAACATTGTTTAGTGTAAATAAATAAAAGAGATTAAGCCTCAGTTCAGGTATTGGCTCCCAGAAAGTCAGTCTGACCCATGGTTTCTGCCAGGCTATCGTTTCACACATAACCTGTGCCCCACAGCACCTGGGATGACTAGCTGAGTGTCCCATTGTAATTATGATGCCATCATCTCAGAGCTCCCCGAGGCCAGGGAGCAAGCCGCACTTGTCTCAGAACCCTCTGGTACTTGGAGGGTTCTCAGTATGCATGTTGGTAGTGCCAAGTCCTTCTAGAAGCTCTGATCTGGTGATTGGCTGAGAGTCCAACAGTGTACCCTGCCCTTCCCAGAAGAGGGAGTCCCGGTCCACTCCAGCAGCCTTGGAAAGGCCGGGTAGATGAGCAGCTTTGTGAACACAGGAAGCCGGCTCAGTACTCCAAGTTGTGGACCGGAGACCTTTGAGTGCCAAGGGAGCTGCGGTTGTGAGGACATCCGTCCCTGTAGGTCTGCTCAGGCAGATTAGATGAGGTGGGTAGGCGGGTCAAAACAGGACAGGACGGGGAATTTCTCTGAGTCATTCTGAGAAACAATAGAGGAAGCTGCAGCGGGGTAATCACCGCCACTTCTTGGCCTGTGGGTACTTCCTGTGACAAATCAAGTTGACCACATGTTCAAAGTGAGCTTGCAATCAAACCCAAGTGCTATCCAAATTCACTGGGGTCAGGCTGTTCCAGGCAGTATGGCATCTTGAGCACAGGCTCTGAGTGTCTGCTGAAGCCCACAGCAGGCTGGGCCCAGGCCAGGGAGTTGCGCTCTGAGAGGGTCAGCAACAGGTGCCTGGGCCTGCAGGACAGTGACCTGACACTCAGGAGCCCTGTGGCACAGCCACAGGAAGAGGGATTTGACTCAAAGAGAAGGTCTGAACCATGAGGTTGTTTTGTGGGAAAGGAAGTAGGCCAGGATGAATGGGGGGGTGGAGCTTAGGATGAGGCACATTTTAGCTTTGGAAAATTCAGTGGCTGTGGTGGGCTGAGGCGGGTGCTGTGTGCGAGGCTTACTCTTCACCACCTGCAAGCTGAGTGATACCCTGTGTTGCTGTTAAGTGAAGTGACTTACCCAAAAACACTGGCAGCATATGCCAAAGCGAAAATCAAAATGTGGGTCTGTGGTGCCTGCCATCTCCTTGTGAGGTCTCATGAAGGGGAGCTTCAGACGGAGCTAAACAATCCCCACCCAGGCTGTTGCAGAAGGGCATCTGCCTGGAGTGGGAGGGAGGCCAGAAGTTGTTATATCTCTGTCCCTACCCCCTTGCCCAGGATGGGCAGTGCTGGTGAATACTGGACTGGTTGAGGCAAAGACATAATCTCCCATTTGAATGTGAGGGCTCTAGAGAGAACATTGGGGCCCTCTTGCAGGGCATTTTGGCAGCGGCTGGCTATGGTGGAAGGAAAACCTGTGTTTACTTTGTGCCTGCTATGTGCCGGGAGGATTGGCATTTCCCAGCTGGCATTCCTGGTAGCCGTAGAGGGAGGCATTCGTTACCTCCTTGGCTCAGAGGTGAGGAGCGGTGAAGTGACTTGCCTAAGCCCACTGGGCAGTGGAGGGTGAAAGGCCCAGAAGTGGCCCCCAGGCCTCCCCGACTCCCCTGGCCCAGCCCAGGGCAGAATGCCAGCACCTGGTGGATCTTCCTTATCATATTAGCCAGGAGCTCTTCCCCAGGGGCTCACCTTCCATATTTGCCTCCCAATCAGCACCTCTCTGAGGCCACGGTGTAGCACGTGAGTCCTTGGGGTGAGACTGGAGCAGGTGGCTTCCATCTGGTTTCCATCTGGACCTGTCTTCCACGCCCTGTGGCCTTAGAGGCAGGGTTCTTTCCCTGCCTCAGTTACCTTCCCTGCAGAAGGCTGAGGGAGTCCATGGTGCACATGCTTTCCTTGGGTGACTCTGCCTCTGTTCACCTCTCACTTCTTCACATCTGTCCAGCTTCAGCCAGGCTAGTTGTGTGCCTAGAGGGAAGAGAGAGCTAAATGTGGGTCTGTGGTCCGTGGCATCTCCTGGTGAGGTCTCATGCAGGGGAGCTTCAGACAGAGCTAAATAATCCCCACCCAGGCTGTGGCATAAGGCCGTCTGCACGGAGTGGGAGGGAGGCCCGAAGTTGTTATGTCTCCATCTCTACCCCCTCGCCTGGGACAGGCAGTGCTGGTGAATACTGGACTGCCTGCAAATGTGTGAGGCAATGCAGCTCTGTGGCTTCTCAGTCCCTTCACTGCCACGCAGGCTTGTTTCAAGGGCTGACTGATCTGTGCCTGCAGAAGGTACCTGAGGCCTGAAGCTCCTGTTTGCTCATCTGTAGAATGGGGATAATCACGCTGCCCATATGAGGCCTTTTTTTTTTTTTTTTTGAGACTGAGTTTCGCTCTTGTCACCCAGGCTGAAGTGCAGTGGCATGATCTTGGCTTACAGCAACCTCCGCCTCCTGGATTCAAGTGATTCTCATGCCTCAGCCTCCCAAGTAGATGGGATTATAGGCGCCTGCCACCACTCCCAGCTAATTTTTTTTTTTTTCATATTTTTAGTAAAAACAGGGTTTCACCATGTTGGCCCGGCTGATCTTGAACTCCTGACCTCAGGTGATCCACCTACCTTGGCCTCCCAAAGTGTCTGTGTGAGGTTTTGAGGAGTAGATGTGGTTGGGTCTCACCTCAAGCCAACCCCCATGTGACATCTCCTGTGCCTTTCTCACCCACGCTGGGGAGGTCTGACCACAAGCCCTGTACCACCTCAGGTTGTTGCATTTCTGAAACTGCTTTCTGTGTGAGTCAGCCCAACGCTGGCCTTCTCCCTTTTGCCTACACATCCATGTGTGGGCTTCACCACTCTCCCGCCTGGAGCACAGCAGGAGGCGGCTAGCAGATGTGTTAATGCCAGTCTCCCCTCGGAACATGCGAAGGTATTGGAGCTTCGCAGAGAAAGGAGGATGTGGGCCTGGGCCTTTGTGGCCTGGAGCAGCTCACCTCTGAGCCACAGCAAAGTTCCATAACCTACCCAAAGCCACACAGTGGGGGCACCAGGGCTTAGACCCAGCTGTGTTTGGCTCCCAGGCCTGGGCTTTCCCTCCACAAACCTGGGTCTGTAGGCACACTTGTACCTGGTAATCTCAGGACAAATTACGCGTGTGCTTGTGGATGCTCCCCGTAACACTCTGGACAGATGGTTGCTGTTCTGATGAGCAGGGTGGTTGGGGTGGGCAGCAGTGTGTGTCCCAGACTGGGAATCCAAACACCTGGGTTATAGTCCTGACACTGCCCCATTGCTGTGTGACCTAGGACAAGTCACTTCACCTCTGGGAAGGAGAATCTACCTATAAAATAGGGGTTGGATCAGATCAGTACTCAGCAGTATTTTTCCTTAAAGATAGTATTTTAAGCTTTGTAGGCCATGTAATCTCTGTCACAGCTCCTCAACTCTGCCGTTGTAGCACAGAAACAGCCACAGACAATACGTGAACAAATGAGTGTGGCTGTGTGCCAGTAAAACTTTATTCACAAAAACAGGTGGCACGCTGGATTTTACTTGTGGATCGTGGTTTGCCAACCCCTGAGCTAGAGGATCTCATAATGCACTTGCAGCCATTGTTATTCTAGGATTCTGTGGCAGTGGCCATGTGTGCTGGAGCTGGAACCCAAGCTGTGGATTAATCACCAGTCAGCTTTGATGCCGGTCAAGAAATTAGCATCTGTCGATTTCTAACATGGTTGCATCCCATGAGGGAGCAGAGGGAAATTTTAGTCTTTGGTAACCAGTCCTGTTTTTCTCCTTGTAGAATGCTGAGATGTATAAACTGTCTTCACAGCAATTCCATGAGGCAGCTTCGAAGATGGAGAGAACAATAAAGTAAGAATTTGTTTATTATTCTTTGTAAACTTGGCCCGAATTTGCAAAAACTCCCACATGTGTCTTGAAACCTGCCACCACCTGCCTAATTTCAAATTTCCCTAATAACACACACAACCATCTGTTCCTCAGCTCTCTCACCTGGATCTCAGGTAGTCATTGGTCATCTGTAATTGGCCAAATTAGCACTCAGTTCGTCTCTAGCTCCTTGGCAAATTGGAGTGGGGCTGGGGTAGACTTGCAGAGTTATTTTCAGGGCCTGGTGTCCGGTGAGCAGGCGCTCCTTTCCTTGTGTGGCTAGCTGAGGAGCTGGCCGTCAGGCCCCAGAGGGAGTTGGGGCAAGGGTACTACTGGCTTCTCTGCCCTCTGACTGTAGACAAGTTTTCAGGGTAAGGTGTCCCCTCTCACTGCTCCCTGTGCCTGGTTTGGGCAGTGCACCCTGTGCACGCTTATGCTCGGAGTGGCTCACACTTCGTGCCCAGAGGAACTGAGGCCCAGAGATGCTCAGGTCACATAGTCCTAAGTACCAGTGTTCCATCCCCTGTCCGTGGTGCTCCTGTGCTGTCCATTGAGGACTCAGCTAGAACGTCACAGGAGCAGGGAGGTGCTCACAGTGTGTCCAGTACCAATGTGGCTCTGCTCGGCCAATAGTACAGTTCCCCGGAAGGTCAGAAAGTGGTCCCTGCAGGAAGGAATAGGGTCTTATGGGTTCTCTGTGTGAAGCTGGTCTCTGTGGACCTAAGAGACCTTCATAAATTAGCCAAGGGGCTACCACCAACTCTATTCACTCCCTGGGAAGGCCTCTCCCTCCCAAGAGTGAATGGGGCAATTCACCTTGCAGCCCTCAGGGCACGGAATTATAAACAGTGTGTCTGGCCTCATGAGAAAGAAGTGTCAAAGACGGGTTTGGATGATACTTATAAAAACAGCTGTGCTGAGAACTATGAAAAGCTGGAAGGACAGTGGGGCCAGATGTATAGTCAGCATAGACCCAAAGGCACAGAATAGGACAGGGAACAATGTAGGGTGGTTTTGGGGTCTTTTTTCGAGACAGGGTCTCACCGTGTGACCCAGGCTGGAGTGCAGTGGTTCAGTTGTGGCTCCCCGCAGCCTGACCTCCTGGGCTTAGGTGATCCTCCCACCTCAGCCTCCCAAGTAGCTGAGACCAGAGACCACAGGTATGTGCCACTCCCAACTAATTTTTATATTTTTTGTAGAAATGGGGTTTCACCATGTTGCCCAGGCGTAATGTAGGGGTTTATTCTTGACACAAAACACCTAAAGCTGATGGGGATACTACATATTGTGGCAGAGTCATTTCTGAATGGGTTTGGGTACGAAAACAATTATCTTGAAATTTGGCTGGGTGTGGTGGTTCACACCTGTTATCCCAGCATTTTGGGAGGTCGAGGCAGGCAGATCACCTGAGGTCAAGAGTTGGGGATCAGCCTGGCCAACATGGTGAAACCCCGTCTCTACTAAAAATACAAAAATTAGCCAGGCATGGTGACAGGCGCCTATAATCCCAGCTACTCTGGAGGTTGAGGCAGGAGAATCACTTGAGCCTGGGAGGCAGAGGTTGCAGTGAGCCGAGATCACACCACTGCACTTTAGCCTGGGCAACAAAGTGAGACTCCATGTCAAATGAAAAAGAAAGAAAGAAAAGAAAACCAATTATCTTGAAATTGCAAGTCCTGTAGCAATACTAGGAGCCTGGGAGGAACAGAATTTTCCAGTAGGCAGATGGAGACAAGGACAGGTGTTGAGGTAGAAGCACAGTCCTGCTGATGCTGGGACCTCCAGGGCCTGAGCAAATGAGCACCAAGGCTGCCTGCATCCAGGAGTGGAGGGTGCTACTGCCCTGCAGGGTGTGAGCCACCCTGCACACAGACACCCTGCGCTTACTGATGGCCAGCTTTTGGCCTATTTCTGAACAGCTCCCCCCAGTATGTCCTGTTCATATGGGGCTGAGAAATACTTGTTCAGAAATACAACGTTCTGAATAACAGAACATGGAGAGGGAGAGCTGTGGCAGCAGCCACATCAAAGAGGCTACTGAGTGACAGCCACAGCATGAATGTGATCCCTGGAGATGGGCCAGCCACAGCTGCTGCCCCTCCCCTTACCTGAGCGGCTTCTTTGAGGGCCAATAGCCCCTCCCTCTATACCTGGAGCCAGGACCCACCTGCCAAGGAGAAGATGCACTGGGGGAGAAGCCAGGCAGCTTTCTGTCGGTAACCGTAATGCTTGTCACCTTCCAAGTGGCCCACCATCCCTGAGGGTGGGGACTCCTGCCCCACTGGCCCCTGCTTTTGTAAATGTGGCTTTATTGTCATAGCCTTTCTCATCCTCATATCCTCTGAAGGCAAGGTGAGATGGATGTGAATGTATTTTTAATTTGAGAGAAGTGGGGTTTTTTTTGTTTACAGCATCCCTTGATATTTACTAAGCAATAAGTACTCTGCAAGGCATTTCAACTGTATAGTTACTCTTGTCAGTTTAACGTACAGGTAAAGAACTGATGCTGGAGAGGTCAAAGAACTCCTCCTTTTGTCCATGGTCACTGCTTGTTCTGTGGCAGGGCTGGGGTTGCTCTTCCTTTGTCTCTGTGTCATTTCTGTCCCTTGCAGGCCCTGCCTGGATGTAAGATGGCAGCAGGGTGGCGCTCTCAGAGCTTGCCTGAGCTTTGCACTCTAACCAGGCTCAGACCTCAGCCCCACCCCTTAGCAAGTCACTTCACTTCTACAGGCCTGTTTCCTCACCTACAAAACAAACAGGACACACTCTTTAAGTGACAATTGAGTAAGATTCCACATAGAAAGTAGACCTAAGATGTCAACAGCTGTTGTTGATATTAGTGTGACTGTTTGCTATGGAGTAAGTGTTTGTGTCTTTCCAGAATTCATATGTTGAAACCTCACTCCCAATGTGACGATATTAGGAGGTGGGGCCTTTGGAACGTGATTAGATCATGAGGGTGGAGCCTTCGTGAGTGGGGTTTGTGCCCTTATAAAAGGGACCCCAGAGAGCTCCCTTTCCTCTTCCACCATGTTGAGGACACAGAGAGAAGACACCATCTATGAATCAGAAAATGGGCCCTCACCAGACATCAGATTAGCCAGTGCCTTGATCTTAGACTTCTCAGCCTCCAGAACTGTGAGGAGGAAACATCTATTGTTTACAAGCTGCCCAGTCTGTGGTACTCTATTATAGCAGCCTGAATTGGAGAAGATACTGCTAATAACAGCAGTCATTCGAATCACTTTTTACAGCACCTAGCTGGGAACAGAGTAGAAAAGATTTGATATATAAATTGAGTTTACAAAAACAGTATTCCCAAATACAGTAAACAGGAAGCAATGTACAGTTAGAAATTATTTAACTTAAACATTGAGAGAAAAAAATCTTTGAGATATTTCTTGGATTAGCAAATATTATAAATTATATCATAAATGTCATAGAAATAAATGCCAACTGCCCATAGCAATAATATTGAGGAGTTTTCTTCCGAGGTCATAAGTATCTTTTAACAACTTTTGGGGCCGGGCGCAGTGGCTCACGCCTGTAATCCCAGCACTTTGGGAGGCCGAGGCGGGTGGATCACAAGGTCAAGTGATCGAGACCATCCTGGTCAACAAGGTGAAACCCCCGTCTCTACTAAAAATACAAAAAATGAGCTGGGCACGGTGGCGTGTGCCTGTAATCCCGGCTACTCCGGAGGCTGAGGCAGGAGAATTGCCTGAACCCAGGAGGCGGAGGTTGCGGTGAGCCGAGTTTGCGCCATTGTACTCCAGCCTGGGTAACAAGAGCGAAACTCCGTCTCAAAAAAAAAAAAAAAAAAAAACAACTTTTGGCTTAGATGGTAAACTAGATGTCCATGTATTCATTCATTCATTCATTTAATACACATGTGTAGAGTGCCTGCTGTTTGCCAGAAACCATGCTAGGCCCTGGAGACACAGTGATGAACAAGACAGCTGCAGTGCCTGCCAGCAAGGAGTTTATAACATTTGAGGAATGATAAACAATGTTTTAAAATTAATTGCACAACAAGCAATTACCCAGTTAATTAATTAATTATAGCAATGAGTGAAAAGAAAGAGTTTGAATTAGAAAGAATGTCTTATGGTGGGAAAAGCATTTTAAACAGAAAGACTAGTATGTGCAAAGGCCCTGAGAAAAAAAAGCAGTTCAACTTATTGAAGGAGTTGGAAAAAGGCCAGTATGGCGGGAGAATAGTGAAAGAGAAGAGAGAAAAAGGGGAAGCTCCAAGAAGTGAGCATGAGCAGACCATGCAGAACTTTGTAACCATAGTAGGAATTTTAACTTGATACTAGGGGCAGTGAACTTACCTTTTCCAAAGCTTTATTTCTCTTCTAATGTATGCATTTAAAGCTATATACTTCTCTATAAACACAGCTTTAGCTACATCTACAAGTTTTGATGTATTATGTTTTTAGTATAAATCAGTTAAAATTTTTCCAGTTTTCTGATTTCTTCTTTACTCATCAGTTACTTCAGAGTATATTGTTTAATTCCAAACATTTAGAATTTTCTAGTTGCCTTTTTTATAATTGGTTTCTGTTTAATTCCTCTGTGATTAGAAAACGTACTCTAAATTCTTTGACAATTTTTGAAACTTGATTTATGATCCAATATATGATGTGCTTTGGTAAACTGTCCATGTGCATTTAAAAAGAATGTGTATTCTGTCAGCAGATGTAGTGTTTTGTATTGCCAATTAGGTTAAGTTGGTTAGTCATGTTCAAATTTTCTATATTTTTGATGATTTACAGATTTTTTTTTTTTTTCTGACACTTCCTGACTACAGGTTTTGGGTTTTTTACTTTTCTTTTCTCTCTCTCTCTCTCTTTTTTTTTTTTTTATTTGAGACAAGGTCTTCCTCTGTCACCTGGGCTGCAGTGCAGTGCCATGATTATAGTTCACTGCAGCCTCAACCTCCTGGACTCTGGACTCAAGAGATTCTCCTGCCTCAGCCTCTTGAGTAGCCAGGACCACAGGTGCACCGCCACATTCAGCTAACTTTTTACATTTTTAGTAGAGAAAGGGTTTTACTATGTTGTCCAGGCTGGTCTTGAACTCCTGGCTTATGCTATCCTCCTGCTCCACCTCCCAAAGTGCTGGGATTTTAGGCAGGAGCCACTGCATGTGGCTGGCCTTCATTATTTTTTTTTTTTAGTGTATCTTTTCTGATAAAAGCTCTATTTTTAATTGTATGTAAATACCTTTATCCACCTTCATTTGAAAAATATAACAGTCGTTTATTAAGCTCTTTGAAGATACCCTTACATTCTCCTTTGATTTTTTTCCTTGAGAAATCAGCGGATGATATTGTTGTCATTCCTTTACTCTTTTTTTCTCTGTTTTTAAGATTTTTCTCTGTCTTTGGTTTTGCTAAGCCATGCCTAGTTATAGATTTTCTTTATTTTATTTTTTGGGGGTCTTGAAGTTTGACATCCTTTTTTCAGTTTTGGAAACCTCGGACCATCTCTTCAGATAACACTCTCCCCTATTTTATCTTTCTTCTTTTCTGAAGTTTGTTACATGCATTACTGACTCATATGCCTCTTGTTCTTTTTTCTGTTTTTCCTCCTTTTTAAAAAATTCCCATGCTGTAGTTGGAGTTCTCCCTATTGGTCTTTTAGTTCATTGATCCTCTTTATTGTGTCAAGTGTGCCTTAAATCTATTGCATTTAGAATTTCTGTTACTGAATTTTTTTAATTATAAAAGTTCCATTTGCTTTGCTTTTTTTTTTTAAGATTCCCAGTCTCTAGTGAAATTCTACCTTTTTCTTTCCATTTTCTTGCACATATTAGTTACAGTTACTTTAAAGTCATCTGAGGGTCTATTTCTGTTCCCTTTTTTTTTCTTGTGATCCTGCTTATTTATATATTTGGTAATTCTTGATTGAGTACCAGAAATTGTTTGGAAAGATGACACAGGTCATCTGTGATATGACTTTCCCCAGAGATGCCTAGGGATGTGGCTTTCCGGGGTCCCTCTTTCTTGGTGAGCTTAAACCACTAGTTTTGTTTTCTCGGCTCTCTGAGACTTTTGAAAATTCCATTTGTTCAGTGGCCTTTTTTTTAGTTAGCTTCTTGCCTGAGTAGCTCAAGAATTTGACAAATATTTTAAAAGAAGAAAACCACTGATAACTGGCTCACTGCTGTGTAGCACTCTTCTCTCTGGAATCCTGTCTCCCTTAGTCCTAGCTGGCTGGGCAGCCTCCACAGGAGTGTTGCCTCCCTATCATCCTGTGAGACTGCCTACAGCCTCCACAGCTCTTCTTGCCTTTCAGCTGAAGCTATTTGCCTGACATTCAGCCAGTCTTCCTGAACCAAGAATTGGCAGAAACTTTGGGGGAAAAGTGGCTCTAAGAACAAACACTCACCTCTCTGCAGTTCCCTGCCCTTCATAATCTTGGACTTCAAGTTCTATTTGTGTTGGTCCTTAGATGCCTTCAGACAGATTTTTTGTATTCCAACTTAATTCTTTTCCCCCCTCAGGAGAGAAGATAGGCCCTTCACAAGCTGCTCCATTGTAGCTGGAAGCAGAGGTCCTAACTTAGTTTTTGAGGAATGATGAGAGTTTACCAAGCAGTAAAGGGCCACCCCAGGTAAAGGAAACAGTAAGATCCTAAAGCCAGATCCTATTCATTTTAGCAACCGGAGGCACTGAAGGCACGGGCGACTCCCCCAGCTTGTCTTGGGACACCAGCCTGTACCGAGGCCTGGATCAAGGCCAGTGTATGTCAAGATCTCAGAAGATTCCTGCCTCAGGGCCAACAGGGAGCTCTCCACCAAAGAGGAGTGTTGATGGCAAGGCTGACAGTCACAGGCTAGGGCCTCTTGTTTTGGAAGAATCCTATTGTTAAGGTAGAAGTGTATGTACACCCCTACCCACCCACCTCACAGCAGCACAGAAGGCAGAATTGTTCAGATTTTCTGAAGGAAGAGATTAAGACCCCAGGGAATCTCATGCATTTATTGTGTCACATCTATTTTTTATGACAACCTTCAGTCCCCTTCCCCTGGGATTCATTCAGAATCTATCTTGGCTGCTTCTTGTAAGGAAACTTGTATAGTCCTCCCTGGCCCCACAGAGAGCCAGCCCTCAAAGAGGTTACAACAATTGAGTTGAAGGAAGAAGGTTATTAACTATTTCCTGAAACTGAGCCATTGTGCTCCAAGGACTTTGATCCAGAGAGGCCTGATTAATGTGGATGTGGCAGTCTTGGGACTTGCTGGAGCGAAGCTGTTGCTGTGTGCTTTCACCTGCACTTGGAAGACAGGACTTAAACTCTGGGAGGCTTTGGGACCCACCTGAGAGCATGCATTGTTTCTAGGCACCTAAGCTTCCCCAGTTTGCATTTATTTAGTCAGCTAATGACAGATGACCTCTTAAAATAGTGGTTAGTTATTTGAACCCCAAAGAAAATGGCGTTCTAAACACTTTTTAATCCAGGTAGCGTTCATCTTAGCCTGAATTCAAAAGATGTTACTGTATCTCACTTCCCTATGTAGATAACCTTAAATGACTTTTCAAAGGAAATGTTTTCTGTGCAGAAATTTACTGACGTGTACGGCTTAAACTGATGGACCCTGCTCTTTGAGAAGTTAACAATCCAAACCTATTTAATACATTCATCTAACACATCAAAATTTAGTTAATTTCTTATTTTAAAAACACTTACTGAACATCAACATGTGCCAGCAACTGTGCTTGGCATATGTATTGTACCCTGTTCCCCATCTTCATAAGAAGCTCAGGTGACAGATGCCATTATTATTCCTATTCTGTGGATGTGGAAATGAAGGTAAGTTCATTGATCTCTCAGACTAAGTTTCCTGATCTGTGAAACAGGGATCATGGTGCTGTCTACTTCTGTCAGGTTCTTATGAACACCAGATGTGATAATCCACATTTGCTTACAGACACAACCCAGGGAGAGCAGGTGGGATTTGAACCCAGGTGTAGATGACTCTCACCTTGCTCTTTTCTGCTGTACTGAGATCTGTATCTCTCAGAATGTACAGGATGAAGGTATTCAGCTGCTTGCTGCTTACCTGACTGTTTGGCTGCCCCAGTACTGGCTGTGCCCTCCCCTGAATTCCAGCCCACCACGTGTGCGTGTGTGTGTGTATGTGTGTGTCTGTGTTTGCATTTGTGTGTGTGTGTGTGTGTGTGTGTACCCACACACTCTTGTTTGCTAAGCTGTGGCATCTTGTGCAGGCATTTACTCCCATGCCAGTACTTACAGACTTCTGCCAACTTTGTAACAAGGGAAACAAAGATGCATGGAGAGAGAGCTGACCAACAGTAATTAGTGTTCGTGTAGCATGTGGGAATGGAAAGTCAAAACAAAAGACGCTGGGTGACACTTTCTCTCAGGACCACACCCCGGCTGGTTCTGTGGGTGGTGGGGTGAGCCACCATTCCTGGTGGCGTTGTGGGTATGATAAAGAGGCTGCTTCCATCCTGTGCCCAGCAGATGTCACACATGTGTCCCAGCGGCATGTGGGGACAGCCATGTGGGGTTGGCATCCAAGGTGAAACCCATTTGACATCCCTGGGCCAGATGAGTTCTAAATATAGAGTTTTCAGTTCTGAATCTCTGTTCTCAGTCTCTGATTTCAGAACACAGAGTCTGTCAAGCTGTTTGTCTTTGTATATCCTACTTTCTGTCTAGAATGACCTCCCTCTTCTTTTCTTACAGATTACACCAACTATTTAAAATCCAACTTAAGCATCTTTTTCTGCTTACTGTTTGTCTTACCCAGAGGTCAGTCTAATATCTTATTTATCTCTGTATCCCCACCATTCCAGCCAGGACTTAGCCATGATGGATGCTCCCCAGGTCAGTGTCAGATGGGTGGATGAAGTGACACCCACTGTGGGATTTGAAAATAAGCAGTTGACTGTTTAAGCACCTACTCATGCCACAGGAGCTGAGGTTGCAGGAAAGATGGGCGCCTTTCCTTCCAGGCCTCCATCACCTGGCTTTCATTCAGGCCTGGCTCACTCACTTGCTCAGAAGCTGCTGGCCAGGTTTTTTGCGTCTGTCATTTCACGTGTTAGTGGGAAGTAATGAGAGATGAAGCTTGCAGCAGTCAGTGTAGCTATTTTGCTGTCGGATATATCCAAAGGCTCCATCAGGAATGAAGTTGAACCTTTATTGGAATAAATGAAACTTAGGAATTAGGCAGTGGTTTTCTGTTCCCCATTCTGTCCTGTCACCATGAATAATCAAGGGCTGGGCGCCTGGCACTCCATTTGGGACTGCTGTGTGGGCAGGTGGTAGACAGATTGGAGAGGCTCCAGAAGGAGAGACCAGAATGGTTAAAGGGTTGAAAAGGTAAAACACACAGTTTGGGCCTCCAGGAAAGGAGAAGGCTGACCAGAGGGTGGAATTTTCTTCCTCTGAGAAGGAAACATTGTCTGAATAGTATCAGGGCTAGGGCCTTGGACTGCAGCTATGAAAACTTAAATTAGATCTAGCAAAGAACTTCCTGACTTGCAGTGAGACATTATAATGTGACAACTGTGTAAACGTTTAAGAAAAACGAGCAATGTCATTCTGTACTAGCACTAGGAATGTGGTATACAGCCAGCCCTCTTCCTCATCTGACCACGGGCAACAGAAGGGCCATGTGCTCTGCATCAGCATCAGTTTTCTGTCTCTGTCTCCCCTGGCTTGCTGGCAGGCAGGCAGCCACCATGCTTCTCCTAGGAAGTATCCTAGTGGTTTTCTCTTGGACCCTGCTTAGAGCATGGAGGCCTTCCCCCTTTTAATAGTTTACTCCCGTAACACCTGCTCCAGCTCTGGGGGCCACCATCCATAAAAGGGAGCCACAGACAGCCCGAAGTGTATTTGCCGCATAACCTTCTTCCCTTATTTTTTTTTAAATCATCATTTCTCCTTAAAGACAGGATTAAATGATGGTGATCTAGAACTTAACCTCTGATTCAGTCCAGTCAGCCTTTCCTGAGGCTGGCTCGGTGGCAGGCTCTGTGCCAGGCAGGATGTGTCATGACAGACAAGACCATCCTGGAGGCCTTTGCCTCCACTGCAGAGCACAGATGCACTCCCAGCCACCACGCTTGCAACGTCCTCACCTCCCCACTCAGCACTCTCGTTCCTCTAGGCTTGGCTCAAATGTGTCTTTCTTTATAAAAGTAAAAGGCTCTCTAAAATTCTCCTGGCCCACTCAAGACAGAGTTAGCTCTGCCCTCTTTGCTGCCCCCAGAGAACCTGGGAGGCCCAGGGAATATACCTGGCTGCCACTTGTACGTTTGTTTTGTACTCACCCGTTCGGGTGCATTTTGTTAGACTATAGGCTCTTTGCGGACAGGAATCTTGTGTTATTCATCTTTGTATCCTTGGGGCCTAATACTTACGAACTCAGAGAATATTGAACAGAGGAAGAAACCCCCTGTTACAAAGAGTGAGTGCCACAGCTGTGCATAAGGAAAGCACCCCCACAGCAGAGAGGATGGCAGGACTGGCTTTGCTGAAGCAGTGAGGCTTCAGAGATGAACTGACCTTGTGCTGAGCCAAGGTGAAGTGAACCAGGATGGGCTCTGTGGCCAGGGGTCAGTGTGAGTAGAGACTCAGGTGGGCCTCTCTTGCTGGAGTATTAGAGGAAGGACAGGGACTGGGCAGGCTGGTCAAGAAGCAAACATCCAAGAGGGTAGAGATAAGGCTGGTGGCACAGGGCGGTTCTGATGTGAAGAACCTTTGGTGCATTCTAAAGAATTTGAGATTCATCCTCAGGCAGTGGCAAGTCATAAAAAAGCTTTTAAGTAGGGAATTAATATGATTGAATTTGTGTTTTAGAAAGCGATCTGGCAGCATTTGGGAGAAGCAAGCAGTAATGATGTTGAGAACAGAATCAAGGGCTCCCTGAAATGCTGCCAGCCAGGAATGACTCACCCATTCCACAGATACACACCGAGTGCCTCCCATGCCGGTGCAGTTCTGGGAATACAGTTTTGAACCAGCATGAGGCTTCCTGCTCTCAGGGCAGAGAGACAAATGGTCAGCAACAAAATAAGATTATTTTATACAAAGTGCTGTGAAGAGGGAACAGTCGGGTAATGTGAGAGAGGATGACCAGGACTTTGTCGGTCTTAGGACCAGGATGCTCTCTGGCATTCAAGCAGAGCTGAATGCTGAGGAGGAACTGGGCAGATACCTGACTACTGTGAGACTCTGGCCTCTAAGCAGCAGCTGTGGCTGAGAGGAGGGCTGGGCCCAGAGGGAGGTGGCTGAGGGGCCGGCAAGGGCCCGGCAGCAGGGAGACTTCCGACCAAGGCACGGGGCATCCGCTGAGCATGAGTGCCAGGAGTGTTCCTCTGCTGCCCACCGCCGGGGCTGTGTGCAGAGCAAGGGCCCCATAACTGTCCCAGTACCCAAACAAGAGGACACAGGAAGCTGTTGGGGGATGGTGGACTCAGCAGTCCTGTTTGGTTCTAAGTACTGGAGCATGTGTAGAGGGTGTCTCGTCCAGCCAGCTCTGAAAGTGGCAGCTGCATGCTTAAGGGGAAGGGCAGCCCCTCTGTGTACAGGCTTTAGCCCAGTGCTTTCTGAGTGCTCAGAGATCCATGACTCAAAAAACTGGGCTTAGAGATGAGAATTTGTTAATCCCCTCCCCTCGACTGAGATGAAAATGGCCTTTTATTCCCAGCTCTATTAATGGACTCACTTCCGGAATAAAGCCAGTGTCCCCAAAGGCAGTGGCTGGGGTTCTTCTCCTTTTTGTCACTTTTGTTTTCTTTTGAGTGTTACATTTAGATTAGCTTCTGGGGGGATTAAATGTTATTACAGTTGAGGAATCTCTTTTCTTTTTTTAATCAGTAGAGAGGTTACCGCTTAGCATCATTGCTGTTAGATTTATTTTCTTAAGTCCTGCAGCCTCCCCTGTTTCTATTCTTAAGAGAAAGCTTTGCATTGGTTGTGTCTGGTTATCTGCACCTTGCGGGAGAAGACCTCCTCACAGGCAGCGCTTTTCCATGCAGCCAGGCAGAGCAGATGCACCCCTGCAAGGTGCCCCACATGGTGTGCACACACTGCTTTTGAGGACACAGCCCTGGGGGCGGGGGGCAAGAAGGTGTTCATGGGTAAAGTGTTTCCCTCAGATCTGGCTACGGCAGACCATAGTACTCAACCCAGGGAAGCTGCAGAGGCTCCAGGCTGCACTGACTTCCGTGAGAGCCCACCAGAGGGACTGCTGTGGCGGAGGCTGGCAAGACCCGTCTCCTGGCATCTGGTTCTTATTGGACTAGGGTGGATGTTACAGAAAGACTGATTTCTTCTGTGGCATCGTGTAAAAGCATATCCATCTTAACAGACCTCAAAGTTTAGAGGTTTAGAGACAGGTATCAGGTGATTGTGTTTCAGGATCTAACAGCCTCTAGACCACGGGAAGAAAGTCCACACTGGGGGCTGGTTGGGGTCTCCACCCACCACCATCACAGAGCCCTCTGTGTCTCTGCACATGCCAGCCAGGAGAGCCAAGCCTGAAGGGTTCACCTTCAGAGGAATTGTGTCCCCAGTGCAGGCTGGCCACATGTGACCCGTGGCACTCCATTTATACCTGCGTCATGGTGGCAGTTCCAAGCTAGAGTAAAGCCCTGTGAGACCTAGGTTGCCCCTGGCTCTTGGTCGCTGGTTTTGTTTCCAGTGTAGCCAGATCCAGGAGAGTCAAGTCCAGGATTCTGAGACTTCGTTGTGAAGTCCAGTCTCCCTGGGAAATGGGGTTCTCTGTCTACACTGAGCCATACTTTCTGAGAAAACACCAGGTGTTCCACTGTCCTCATTCCCACTGTCCCCACCACCACACACACGGATGAGGTCCTGAGTAACTGGTGGTATCCCTGAAACTGTGGGCCCCGTAGCTGGATAAACCCTCAGAGTCATCTAATCCAGTTAGATACAGGTTGGGGTCATTCATGTGTGGTCACCCTGGGAACTCTACCCACTCTGCTTGAACAAGTTCTGTTGCCAGTGCCCATTGTCACACCTCCCATTTCATCTCTGTACAGCCCTAGCTGTTAGAAAACAGTGTTCTCTGATGGAAAACAGCTCAGGGCTAGTTCTTGGGAGCTTCCTCGTTCTGCCCCCTGAGGCTTTATAGAGCACAGCAAAAGTGCCTATGCATGCAACTGGGCAGATATCTGAAGATAACTTTTGTGTCCCCTATGTCTTCCTTCAGCTTTATCCCTCTCTAAGTCATCCAATGAAGTACACGCCTGGCTTGGAGTCCCTGTCTCCTCTCCCTCTGCTCTCTTTTAGAATTGGGCTCTGGGGAGCCAGAGTAGATAAGCAGCCAGAAGGCGGTGCAGGCATCACCTCCCTTGTCTGATGGCTGAGCTCTGTTGGCAGCATGCACACTGGGTTGCAGCTCTGAACTCGCTGTGTCATCCTCTGTCTCCTTGGCTGGGCCCACTAATTATTCATAGAAAGCTTCCTGTGAACTCGTTTCCCTGCATGGCTACTGACTGCCCTATTTGGGCTTAAGTGCAGACCTTATATTTATTCTGAGTAAACTTCATTCTGATAGATTTAGTTCAGCCCGTAGACTGATTATTTGAATATGCAGATTCTGTCATCCCTCTCTTTTTTTTTTTTTTTTTTTTGGAGATAGGGTCTTTATCTGTTATGCAGGCTGGAGTGCAGTGGCACAATCTTGGCTCACTGCAACCTCTACCTCCCAAGTTCAAGAGAGTCTCCTGCCTCAGCCTCCTAAGTAGCTGGGATTACAGGTGCCTGCCACCATGCCC